GATTGAAAACTTACTTTTCTATTTAATCTGCTATATTACATAAAATATCTAACTTAAATCCAGAAAAAGAAATACATTTATAAACTATTAAGTATCAGTATGATGTTTAGGAGTAAGAGCATTTGGTCTCTTGCACACACTGCTTCAAGTCCTGCCACTTCTCCTGGTTACTCCTGCCTTGGCTAAGAATATGGAAGAATTAAAATTAAAATGCAAATAATATCTGGGAGGGTGTGACAGGCCATGGGGTCCCCAGACATTTGGTCAACCATTATTCTGGGTGTGTCTGTGAGGGTTAGTCTGCATGAGATTAACATTTGAATTGGTAGACTGAGTAAAGCAGATTGCTCTCCCAAAGTGGGTGGGCCTCATCTAATCAGTTGAAGACCTATATAGAACAAAAAGGCTGACCCTCCCTTGAGTAAAAGGGAACTCTATCTGCCTGTCTGCTTTTCAGCTGGGCCACTGTTTTGTCTTGTTGTTGTTGTTGTTTGTTTTTTTGTTTTTTTCCTGCCTTCAGATTCAAACTGTAACACTGGCTCTTCCTAGGCCTTCAGACTGGAGCTACGCAATCAGTTCCCCTGAGTCTCCAGCTTGCTGACTGCAGATCTTGAGACTTGCCAGCCTCCAGAATCACAACAGCTAATTCCTTATAATAAATCTCTTTCTATATACATATATATATCCTATTGGTTCTGCTTCTCTGCAGAACCCTGATTAACACAGAGGGGTGTTACAATAAGACAGTATTGGTTGTGAAGACTTTAGTTGTTCACTAGCTCAGTCCAGAAAAAATGAAAGTCTTGAAGGAAAAAAACTGAGAGAGGAAGGAAGAGCTTAGGGCACTTCTTTGTAAAGGCTAAGAGACGGGTGGCTTGAGGGCACTGTGTGCTTTTCTTGGGGAACGACACACTGAGCAACAGCCATTGTCTACTTGATGATGCTGTCTGGTATTTTTCCTACTCCTATTAATGCCCATTTTTCTTGAGTCATTTTATCTAGGGGACATTGGCAGTACTTGATTGTTATATAATCATAAATTTACAGTTCTAATGCTAACACTTCATCCTTTTCAAAAGGCAAGCCACATTATAGAATACTGAGCATCAAATGCAGCTTAGCAAAATGAAAGTGGGAGTGGGATGTTAGTAGCACAGAAATATTGAGCAAGTTTATCTAAAAAGGGAGAATGGAAAAAATAAGCCACAGAATAGATGCATAAAAACCTCAGAAAAGATGTTAGGAGCAGCTGGTAATAAGACTAATGAGAACAAATATCTGAAACAAAATAATATTTCTTTATATATTGACAAGATTTGTAAAAAAAAAAATATATTCTTCTTCCAGTATTTATAAATGTTTGTTGGTGCTATGATTCAAGTTAATTATAAATCTTAATTGCGCACCTTCTGCGCACAAACTACTGCACCAGATCAGAAGTGATATTGGCCCCGCATTGAAGGAACTTTTAAAAACACACATATTGCGTGAACATAATAATAAACTCGAGACTGAACTGTGTTAACGACAGATTACTCTTTTAAGATGCAGACCTCGGCTAAGACCCTGGATAATACTGGCTTATTTTATGTCTCTCCGCACAAGGACAGGTCTTCCTTCTGCCAGCACTTGGTAAGCACAACAATGTGCTGGCTGTGTGGCTGAATGGGGTTACAGGCTCGCTTGAAGTCTAAGGGCGCCCTCATGAGAATACAGACCACAAAACAGTGCAGGGTAAAGCAGTGGGGCAGGGATTCAGCACAGCCCGTAAACAGTAGGAGAATCTGAGGAAACGAGGGAGAGGAGTGTACAGAAGACGAGAGCGGGTGCCTGGCACACCCCAAGACCCCTCTAAGCAAAGCAATCAGACGTAAGAAGTCCTCCTACACAAAGCTCTTGCTTTGGATCATAGCCACAACTGACTGCCTGATTCAAAAGCAGTCTAATAGGCTGACCTGTGAGGTGTCCTGTTACCCAAGTGGCTAAGAGACCCAGTAGAATCTTCCCTCAAACAGAGAGGGGTTGCTTATGACCAGGGGCCCCAGAGGAACATCTGTGGAGAATTGAGGCAGAGAAGCTGAGCTGTCTGCATGATGTCTCAGTTCTTCATAGGGCCAGCCGTGGGACTGCTGAGATGTCCTTGATGCAATTAAACCCTAGCATTTAAGGTAATCTGAATGCACGTGTGATCTGAAAGAACCTAATTTGTGGCGTGTGTGTGTGTGTGTGTGTGTGTGTGTGTGCGCACATACGCTGTGAAAGGGCAGAGAAAGTGGATTTAAGAGAAGAATGAGCAGAAAGCAGAGGTGGCCTAGATGGAGGGAGAAGAAATGGAAATGTGAAGAGAAAAAATAGCAAAGATCCCCTCTTTCGCTTTTTGCTGGGCCTGAGGCAAACAGCTGTGCCCAGTGCCCCTGGAGGTTACACTGCTACCTTTGGCAAGACATGGTGTTTCTCCATCCCTGAGGAATCCAGAAATAAGAGACAGGAAGCATGGAAGCTAATGCATCCTAAAGGATGAAAACATCAATCCTAGTAATGTGAAAAAGTAACAAGGAGTCTGGTGTTATTTTCAGAAGTCAGGTTCAAAAAGTCTTAGGAATGAGACACACTGGAGGGTCATTAATGTGGCCAAATGAGACAAGAATGTGTGAAAACACTGGTTTTTTATATTCATGGGGGCATCCATTGAGAACCAAGGCTTACAGTTTCTTGATTATAAACATAATACTTGCTCATTGTTGAAAGTTTAGAAAATACAGCATGCAGGCACACAAAAAACATAGATGTATGTACGTGTGTGTGTGTGTGTGTGTGTGTGTGTGTGTGTATCCCAGTAATCCCAGAACTGAGAAAAATCAAGTCATTTTATAAAAGTTGGTCTGTTACAGAGGTTGTGTATGAACTTAAACTTGGATGATAACAGTGAAGGAGTTAAATTTCAGCTTAGAATCAGTTAGCTGATGACAGTCTGCAGAATATAACTTTTGTCAACACAATTGACAGGAACAAGTCATAATCCAGGATTCCAGGCCTTAAGAAAACGTGGAGCTCAGATATTCTCTGTTTAGGTTGACTTTGGTCCGTGCACTCTGGCAGGTGTGGCCAATCTGAAATAAACAAGGTGGCTCTGGATCAGTGGCCACAGACAGGTCCAGCTAAAGAACCAGGCTATTTGATCTGAGGCACTGTCCTTACTAACATAATTTCTGCTGTACTAGAAGAACAAGCTGCTCCTTCATTTTATCATGAGGTTATTCTAGGGTGTGTCTTACGAAAGCACCTGAAATGTCTTTAGTATTATTACGAGCTGTCATAAACACACACCATCAGAACCTTAGAGCTTGGAGAGTCTGGGGTGGACACAGAGGGGTGAAGCTTAATTTAAAGCTGTGTCTCCAGTTCCTTAAAAAACTATAAATAGAACTACCATATGACCCAGCAATCCCACTACTGGGCATATACCCTGAGAAAACCATAATTCAAAAAGAGTCATGTACCAAAATGCTCATTGCAGCTCTATTTACAATAGCCTGGAGATGGAAACAACCTAAGTGCCCATCATCGGATGAATGGATAAAGAAGATGTGGCACATATATACAACGGAATATTACTCAGCCATAAAAAGAAACGAAATTGAGCTATTTGTAATGAGGTGGATAGACCTAGAGTCTGTCATACAGAGTGAAGTAAGTCAGAAAGAGAAAGACAAATACCGTATGCTAACACATATATATGGAATTTAAGAAAAAAAAATGTCATGAAGAACCTAGGGGTAAGACAGGAATAAAGACACAGACCTACTAGAGAATGGACTTGAGGATATGGGGAGGGGGAAGGGTGAGCTGTGACAAAGCGAGAGAGAGGCATGGACATATATACACTACCAAACATAAGGTAGACAGCTAGTGGGAAGCAGCCGCATAGCACAGGGAGATCAGCTCGGTGCTTTGTGACCACCTGGAGGGGTGGGATAGGGAAGGTGGGAGGGAGACGCAAGAGGGAGGGGATATGGGGATACATGTATACGTATAGCTGATTCACTTTGTCATAAAGCAGAAGCTAACACACCACTGTAAAGCAATTATACCCCAATAAAGATGTTAAAAAAATAAAAATAAAAATAAAAATAAAGCTGTGTCTCCAGCCTCTAGAAGAGGCCAGAGGAAGAAGACAAGCCTTGATTCCAGCTGGACCAGGAGCTTCCTACCCTCTGGGCCAGGGATTCAAATGGGGAGCAATGCTGGCCTCTTCCCCTCTTGCCCTACTGCTTCTTGTACTTGAGAAGCTCCCTTCTCCTGCCCTTTCCTCCCACAATGTAAACGCTCCCTAGCAAAGTATTTAAGAGGTAGCAAAGTGTATGTAGTGGGTGCTTCGAACAAACAGCTTGAACAAGGAGTTGTCTTCACGACAAGCCAGGCACCCTCCTCATCTCTAGGTCCAGATGCCCATGGCAACTACACAAGCTCTAATGAAGCCTAAAGTCATCATAGCTTCCCTCTCTACAGCCGGAGCTTTATTTTTCTGAAGAGCACATCAACTTAATAAATTCAGTTGCTTCTATGAATGAAGTTTTCATTATAAACATAAATCCTTTCACAGTATTTGTTGAGCTAAGCTGCTGACCTAAAACAACAACTGCTCTTCAAAGGCAGCTTGCGCCTGTACCAAGGTCTTGAAGGAATTCCGTAAGGTTCGTAAGTGATTTATTGTCCCCATAGCATTGTGATACTAAGAAGAGGAAGAGGTGCATATTTACAACTAATTATTGTTGCTTAAGCAGCATAACTGTTTGTTTTCCTATGGCCACCAATGGATAATGGACAATTAGCATTACAAACATACCTCAGAAAAATGAATCATCTTACAATATATCACTTATTAAATCTTATTAAATGAAAGACAACATAATTGTAATATGCAACTTATATCAACTAACAATAATCCTCAGGATTTGGAGATATAGACATAGCGACAATAAGAAGATTACTAAACATACCTGAAGTAGTTCTGCCTTTAATTCTTCCTTTTCCTCCTCAGAGAGCATGCTAGGGAAGTCAGCACTGGCTACTGTGTCTTCATCTCTTCCTTGCAGTGGTTCAGTCTCCAACAAACCTTAAGGCAAAATTGGCAAAACATAACGCAAGTTAAAAAATGAATTTAGGGCTTCCCTGGTGGCGCGGTGGTTGAGAGTCCGCCTGCCGATGACTCCGTCTGACTCTGTCGGAGGGAGGTGGGAAGTGCCTGGACAACGCAAATGCACATGTCCTCTGTAAACAGGCGCACATATATAGGGAAGCCTTATTTATGACATGAATTATGACAGAGCTGGCATTTATACATCTCTGGAAAAAGGGAGGTCTTTTAATAAATTGTCCTGGAACAAATAGTTTTCCATATAGTAAAAATAAAATTGGACACCTTCACACCATTAAGAGATTAAATTATAAATATTTTAGAAGACAATATGGGACTTTATATTTATGAACCTCTGGGTAGGAAGGGATTTCTTGAGACACAGAAAAGGGCAAATCATGAAAGAAAGGATGGATAAGATTAAGAATGAGTTATCACTTCACACCTGTCAGAATGGCTATTGTCAGAAAGACCACAAATAACAAATGCTGGTGAGGAGAAGAGAGAACACTTGTGCACTCTTGGTGGGAATGCAAATTGGTGCAGCCGTATGGAAATAGTAAGGAGGTTCCTCAAAAAACCCCAAATACGCTACCAAACATAAGGTAGTGTATATGATCCATCAATTTCACTTCTGGGTGTTTACCCAAAGAAAACAAAAACACTGACTGGAAAGATATATACACCCCAATGTTCACAGAAGCATAATTTACAATAACAAAGATCTGGAAGCAACCTAAGTGTCCATCAACAGATGAATGGATAAAGAAGACATGGCATATACATAAACACACACGCGCGTGCGCGCAACGGAACATTAGTCATATAAAAGAATGAAATTCTGCTATTTGCAAAAACGTGGAGGGACCTAGAGGGTCTTATGTTTAGTGAAATAAGTCAGACAGAGAAAGACAAATACTGTTTATTACAACTTATATGTGGAACATAAAAAAATAAAACAAATACAACAGAAACAGATCACAGATATAAACTAGTCATTACCAGTGGGAAGAAGGATGGAGGAGGGAAAAGGTAGGAGTAGAGGATTAAAAGAGACAAACTACTATATAGAATAAATGAGATACAAGGATATATTGTACAGCACAGGGAATATAGGCAATATTTTTAGAACAACTTTAAATGCAGTATAATCTATCAAAATACTGAATCACTATATTGTACATCTGAAACAAATATAATATTGAAGTCAACTCTTAATCAAAAAATAAGAATGGGGCTTCCCTGGTGGCGCAGTGGTTGAGAGTCCGCCTGCCGATGCAGGGGACACGGGTTCGTGCCCCGGTCCGGGAAGATCCCACATGCCGCGGAGCGGCTGGGCCCGTGAGCCATGGCCGCTGGGCCTGCGCGTCCGGAGCCTGTGCTCCGCAACGGGAGAGGCCACGACAGTGAGAGGCCCGCGTACCGCAAAAAAAAAAAAAAAAAAAAAAAAAGAATGTTTCTTCATCAAAAACACTAACTGTATGGAAAATAAAAAGACAAGCCACTAATGGAAGAAGATATCTCCCAGATGTAGCACGAGCAAGATTAGTTCCCAGAATAAACAGAATTCCTACCAACCCACATAAACAATGGAAATAACCCAATAGAAACATGGGCAAAAAAACCCAAACAGATTCATTACAGGGAGAAATCACAAGTGGTTAATAAATCCAGAATAACACGCTCAACCTGATATTCTGGGAAATACAAATTAAAACATTTCATACCCACTGGATTAGCAAAAAGTTAAAAGTTTGATGATACTAATAAAAGTTGATGACTATGTAGAGGGTGGAAACTCTGATACACTGCTTGCAAAAATATAAATAGATACAAATAACTTGAAAAAAATTTATCATTGTCTAGTAAAGTTGAACATTCACACACCCTACAATCCAGCATTCCACACCTATGGATATACCCAAGACACTTATACATCAGTACCTGAGGTCATTAATAAGAACTTTCATGGTAGCAAAAAACTGTAAATCAGCAAATGTCTATCAACAGGAGAACATACAAGCACACTGTGGTCATTTACACCAAGACAACTCGACCCTAGTGAAATGAGTCAACTACAGCCATGCACGCCACATGAATGAAACTCAGAAACAAGATGCTGAGTGAAAAACACAAGTTGCAGAAGAATAATAAAGTATAACTGCACTTATATGAAGTCCCCAAACACACAAACAAAATAAAATACTGTTTAGGAATAAAAGTAAAAAGACAAGCAAGGCTATGGTAAAAAATTCAGGACCATGGTTTTCACTGAGGAGTGGGGGAGACCAGTTTCAACGCTAAGTATTTCTTTTTCAGGAGTCATACCTGTTCGTTGTAAAAGATAATAAAATAAAATGACCCATTAGTCATTAAAATTACTATTAATCACACTACGCAGAAATAATGATCATTTTGTCCATCCTTTCTGGTATTGCTTCTATGCATTTGTTTACATTTTCTTGTATATATTTATATACATTTACTGTTGTGAATTTACTTTTTCAATAGGATAACATGATATCCTTCATGTCTAAAAACACATATCTACCTTTATTTATTTTTATGGCTGTACAGTATTTTGTCTCATGTATGACTGACAATTTATCCTGTTTATTGGGGAGCTGCAGTGAACATCTCCTTGCCAGGTCATTAGGCAAAATCTTGATGATTTCCTACACACTGGGTTACAGAGGCAGAGGCCATGGACATTTTTAAACCTTCTGCCTAGTTATCCTCCAGAAAGGTGGTGCCAGTTTTATGCAAACATCAGCTACCTAGGAGACTATCTCTAGATTCTCGGTACAAGAATGTTAAGTAGGTCATTTAAAAGGTTTTAAACACTGTCATTTATTTTTGCTGGTAAATATTTATGTTTACATGTGGCCAATATATTTTTAGTCAGTGTTCTAGGATAACTGTCTAAATCAGGAATCAGCAGTAATTCCAAGCACAGTTTTAAGAGACGGGCGCAGAAGGTAAGCTGCCCGCCTGCACTGGGGACTGGGGAAGAGCCATAGGAGGAACCTGTTAGACACTCTGGTATTCTCCCCAACTCAGCCTGGCCCAGGAACTTAGCAGATACTGCTCAAACTTAGCCAGAACCTAAATTCTCCATCTTCTCCTTTCTTGACAGTATGAGAGGACATGTACCAGGGAACAGACAACAGTTCCAGGCACTTAGACTTTTCAAGACATCAAACATCTTTAGTATCTTCCTATATTCTAGGAAGATTTGAAATCCATTTTAATTGCTAATACGTGAATTGGGAAACTTCTAGCAAATTTAGGGAAGGACAGACCTCCCCTTATCCAGCAGGCAGCTTCTACTTTTCAGGGCAAAGGTATATAAATCTTATAAAGTGAGATATTTCCTGCACTGGCCTTCAGCTGATATGTCACACATGCCACTCCTCAGAGACATCATGAATCTCAAAGTTTCTCTCCCAGAAAGCAGCCATTCAGGAAATCTGCCTGGAGCCCAGAAGCTGCTAGTTAGGTCTGGTCTAATTAGACCAGCTACCTTCTTTACTCTTATCTTTGAAACAAATGCCAGTCCCCCATCATTTTTTTGACTCACTGGGTTAGGGAAGCAGCAATCACTCATGAGGTCAAAGGATAATTCCAGAATCAAGGAGTAGGGAAAAAAGGAGTTCGATTTTAAAAAGTGTTTCAACAGTGAAAGAGTCAAAATCAGAAAGAAAAAAAAAAAAGCAAATAGGAAGAGATACCAAGTGACAGATGATAATGTGAGAAGGGCAGTAAAATGAGTATAAAATAACCTAGTTACTATGGAAGAAGATATTAGAGAAGATTAAAAACATATTTTTAATAAAAGCAATAATTAGTGGGCAAAACTGTTCAAGAAGCACAATTTTTAGCAGGTACCAATACATTATGAATTTTGTTCTCTTTTCCAAATGTGCAGACTACGCCGCCTTTATCTGGCATAGAAGAAAGAGCACTACAACAGGAGTTGGGACACTTGGAATTCTGCCTACCTGTGGGCTTGCCACTAACCAGCAGAGGACACTTGACCTCAATTATCTCATCTGTAAAATGGGTACCTTACAGGATTGCTGTTAAGATTAAATGATGTTAAATCAGATAAGATATGTGAAAATGTTTAAATTTCCATACCGACCTCAGCAACATATTGGTGAAATTTGGGGGTGACAGTTTTTAAAAGTGTTAATGTGCTATGTTCTCTTTTGTGTTTTAGCCTCCCGAAGATATAGTATTTTCCTAGCTGGTCTAAGGCATCCATCTGTCTGAGGTAGAGAAAGGAGCAAAAGAAACACAAAGATTAATATTTAGATTTTTGGCATTTGAAATTAGATTTGCCAGGAAGACAACAGTTTTGCAAAATGGGCAATATTCTTAGGAGGGGATGTTCTCCACATCTTTATTTCCCTCTTTGTATATCAGAAGCCAAGGCCAGGACATCCAGGCCAGGAAGTTCCCCTTAGGTACACAGTGCATGAGGATTTACCAAGGATGTATGTACCTCTTGCTCTGTGCCCCGGAGCAGGCGGGAAGAGGGAAGGGAGAAAGAAGGAGAGGAGCTGTGAGGTGTGTATGTCCAATCTTTCCCTTTGGGTTTTGGCCCAGAAAGATTTCTAGAGGAACCTGCTGGAGGTTCTGTTTGCTTCTCCAGACCCACTCTCTATCCTCTTCCACTCTGCTCTGTGCCTGGGAGACTGGCCTAAGGATTACATCAACATGGTCCCCTCACCCTTCTGCTTCCTCTCTGCATTGGCCATCAGAGCCCCAGCGGGACCCTGCGGGACAGAAAGGGGCAGGGACTGCCTCTCTCCCTGCCAGGCTGCACTGTGCAGTTTTATTTTTCCACCACCAAAGACCACAGCTTCTGTTCAGCAGTTTTCTTCTACAGCTCAGCTCTTGTCAAGTTCCTAGAACCCTGCCCTGTCCTCCAGCCTAGGGAATGTACTGACCTCCTGGCTGCTATTGCTCTGAGG